ACGTTTTAAAATATTAAATAATATATATTATCGCTTGAACACCAGATTTGATCACAATTCATGCACAACAACATTTCATGGTCGGTTGAATTAATTAATTAATTATAATCGATTATAATTAATTAATCATATCATTCAATATGACATCACGTGACTCTCATCATTATATCCTAAAATAAGATCTAATTCTAAACTAAAGTGTAGTGAAACCAAAAAAGAGTTCAGCAGGGCAAATTCATCGAGATAAAACAAATTAAAGGATTTAAGCTTAATAATAATCCCTGAACACCAGTCTCATAACCAGGTTAGTGACGTCATCACACCACGTGACGTCATCACACTACTTGATGTTGTATCACACTCTAGCTTTTATGGTATTAAGTTCTAATTTACAACACAAATTTCACCTTAAACTTTCAACGGTTAAAATGTTATTATTTTTTTCGCAATATTCTCACATGATGTATTTCAAGTCGCACTGGTTTTTCTGATTTTATGTTCTAATTAGACACAATTACAGCTGCCCCGGCTGAAAAATAGATCAATTTTTAGAGCATGATCCACATTTACTGATTATAATTGCTTCGCAATTTATTGATCGGTGAGAAAATTTATTGACAGACTAGTGAACGGATTAAACTGATAATTAGTGCAGCGAGATGCTAATTGTTCCCTTATAGGGTAACATGTGGTTACTATTCCTTCACTGATGACACTTATGTAACTCTCTCCAATCCCAAAATAGGAATACTTCAGATATAATCATCACCATCCGCTGTGTCCAATTCTAACTGTGATCGGTGCAGTTACATAAAGATGCAAACCAGAGAGAAATCACTTCAAACCAAATGGGAAGATTTGTCACAGTCGCAGCTACTGCAGTCACTGTTAGTCTTCACTGTTAGTCTTCACTGTTAGTATTCACAGTCACAGTCACAGTCACAGTCACAGTCACAGTCACAGTCACAGTCACAGTCACAGTCACAGTCACAGTCACAGTCACAGTCACAGTCACAGTCACAGTCATAGTCAGTAAAATGTAGACCCTACTCCCCCCTCCCCCTGAATTACAAGTTAACTGTATAGGATGTGGTCAGTTACTATCTACACTAGACTGTACACATGAAACAGCCCTGTTACTGAGACGATCAGCCCCCCTGTACACAACAGCACATTACATACTTTTACCATGAATAAATGAATAAAAGTCCGTTATTCCCGTGTTAGAGGAATGATAGCTCGGTGTTCCACTACAATACTAAGTCACATGACACGGTAAATGAGTTGATAATATTTGATAAACACAGGGGGACACGTAACGGTCGAGGGATATTAACTGTAAACAGAACACGTGACTAGAACAGCTGGACACGTGACTTGCAGTTTGGCAGATTTCTGGTAAGTGCCAGTCAGTTTATGGCGTACAAGGCTGGAATTGGAGGAGGTTGAATAGGAATGCCGTTATTGCAAGATAGTATGTATGATGCCAAATATTTTAGGAGATGTTAACTGAACCAGAAGACTCTTGTATCTTTTAGGAGATATTAAATGAACCAGACGACTCTTGTAACTTGTTTCATCCTCCATCTTCCTGTCCTGTTCATGGTTGTGGTGTGTTACAACACGTACCATGATAGTTACAGTATCCAATATGACAGTGTTCTGGGTAAAGTACCACACTTGACGAACACTGTATTTGACAGAAGAGTTCTAACCCCGGAAACAAAACCACCCAGCAACTTTGTAACATTCACCTGAAAACAAAGCTGAACCAGGATATTACAAGATCTAACGATTTATCCCCCCACAAAGCGACTCCAACGTGACTAAATCCCAGCCTTCTGATTGGTCCGTTACTTCACCACGTGACTAAATCCCAGCCTTCTGATTGGTCCATTACCTTGTAACTGATCTGTGATTGGTTGAGAGCTGAGTGGAGAGAAGGTGTAGTGCACCCTTAGGAAATTTAGTGTGGTTCACTGAGCTGGGTCTCACATAGCAACAGTGTGTAGAGTTCCTTTCAATGCTAGGTCTGATAAAGCCTCTAAATTTGTAATCCTAACAGGGCAGCAGCAAGTTTTAACTTTTCTAACTTGTACTTATGCTTCGGACAGAGAGAAGACATAAAAGTTTGGTTATTATTAGCGTGCTGTATTTTTTGAAGTTGCAAAAGTTTGTTGAGAACTTGCAAAATATTAGCTTTAAGTGTGATTCAACCTCGCTCAAAGACGAATTCTAAGCAAGAAAATTAGTCGTCTAAAGCCGGAAATTTATCCGCAATTCTTTTGTTATAAATATAATAATTATTGTGATAACTGCCTAGATAAAAGATTGTTAATTTCTCGAAATGTTATAAAAAATACCAAAGAGATCGGAGTGCCAATAATTATCCAACACTATCATCATTCATCATTATACTGTAAAAATAGTAACTCTAAAAAATATAAAGTTGTAGCAAGCTATGTAGCATACTACCTAGCAGGCTATGTAGCAGACTATCTAGCAGACTATTTAGCAGGCTATCTAGCAGGCTATGTAGCAAGCTATCTAGCAAGCTATCTAGCAAGCTATCTAGCAGGCTATGTAGCAGGCTATGTAGCAGGCTATGTAGCAATCTATCTAGCAAACTATTTAGCAGGCTATCTAGCAGGCTATGTAGCAAGCTATCTAGCAGGCTATGTAGCAAACTATCTAGCAAGCTATCTAGCAGGCTATGTAGCAAGCTATCTAGCAGGCTATGTAGCAAGCTATCTAGCAGGCTATGTAGCAAGCTATCTAGCAGGCTATGTAGCAAGCTATGTAGCAAGCTATGTAGCAAACTATCTAGCAAGCTATCTAGCATGCTATGTAGCAAGCTATCTAGCAAGCTATGTAGCAAGCTATCTAGCAGGCTATGTAGCAAGCTATCTAGCAAACTATCTAGCAAGCTATCTAGCAGGCTATGAAGCAGGCTATGTAGCAGGCTATGTAGCAAGCTATCTAGCAGGCTATGTAGCAAGCTATCTAGCAGGCTATGTAGCAAGCTATCTAGCAGGCTATGTAGCAAGCTATCTAGCAGGCTATCTAGCATGCTATGTAGCAAGGTATATAGCAGGCTATCTAGCAGGCTATCTAGCATGCTATGTAGCAAGGTATATAGCAGGCTATGTAGCAGGCTATGTAGCAAGCTATCTAGCAAGCTATGTAGCAAGCTATCTAGCAGGCTATGTAGCAAGCTATCTAGCAGGCTATGTAGCAAGCTATCTAGCAGGCTATGTAGCAGGCTATGTAGCAAGCTATCTAGCAGGCTATGTAGCAGACTAACTATCAAGCTATATTTCTATATAGTAGGCTATCTAGTAGGCTATGTAGCAGGCTATGTAGCAAGCTATCTAGCAAGCTATCTAGCAGGCTATGAAGCAGGCTATCTAGCAGGCTATGTAGCAAGCTATCTAGCAGGCTATGAAGCAGGCTATCTAGCAAGCTATCTAGCAAGCTATGTAGCAGGCTATGGCCGAACAAGTGGTAAACATCTTTTTTTTATTAACGAGCTTCATAACGCATATATTATAATCATCATTATAGTAGAACTATCATATCATTTTCAAATACAAAACAATCATTGAGATGGCCTAGATTAAAAACGAACTTAGTAGTATTGCTAGATAAATGAGATATATTAATTAATTAATTAATTGGCATTAATTAATTAACTAACTGATAACAACACAACTTTAATGATAATTTTCTCAATTTTCGTATCAAATGTTAGGGATATAATGATATCTCACTATTACAAGCAGAACACAGTCAATTTAACGAAGAAGCACGAGGTACTAAGGAAAAGAAGAGCCATGAATTGAAAAAAAATAACAAGTCTACTAAATGAAACTAAATCAAAAAGACACACCGAAAGGTACTGCATGCAGCTTAGCAACTAGATACTGCAGCAACTACTGCTTAGCAACTAAGTACTGCAGCTTAGCAACTATTGGGAGCTAGATTCAAATACCATATTAATCGCCACACAAATTATTGAAGGTACATCATACGATACAATCAAATACGTTTCAAATAAACAAGCAACGAGATGCAAACAAATATAATATAGCCTAAGAGTCTGAAGCAATGGCTGCAAGCCCACCATGCTCTCCTAACTCTGCAGTTAGGCCACAGTAAGGGACTAGGTCACAATAAGGGACTAGATAATCAGGCTGCTCTGAAGAAACAATCCTTTTTCCTCTTAACAGAGCGGGGATGGGCGCAGATGCAAACAATGCGAGATATCATTCCACCCAACAGTGTCTTGCTCTGTTAAGGCCAGAGGGGGGGGTAAAATTGGTTTTTCCAGTTTTCACATATTTGATCAGAGCTGCTGGAGACAAACAAGAAGAAAAAAACCGGACCGAAATCTGACCTTGCGTTTTTAAGATATCGCGCGCCAAATATTGAGGTTTACATGTAATTACATGTAAAACTTAAACTTAAACTGTAAAAAGTTAAAAGTCCCTTAGTTGAGAATACTGGCCACACCCAGAAGCTGAAACTTGGCACAGTTGTTCCTTGGGCTGTCACCCACAATTCTATTGTACAAAATTTTGATATTTGCCTCTGTTCTCGAAATATGAGGTTAACTTTACCCCAAATTCGACAATTTTTCGAAAAGTGTCGAATTTGGGGTAAAGTTAACCTCATATTTCGAGAACAGAGGCAAATATCAAAATTTTGTACAATAGAATTGTGGGTGACAGCCCAAGGAACAGCTGTGCCAAGTTTCAGCTTCTGGGTGTGGCCAGTATTCTCAAATAAGGGACTTTTAACTTTTTACAGTTTAAGTTTAAGTTTTACACGTAATTACATGTAAACCTCAATATTTGGCGCGCGATATCTTAAAAACGCAAACTCAGATTTCGGTCCGGTTTTTTTCTTTTTGTTCGTCTCCAGCAGCTCTGATCAAATATGTGAAAACTGGAAAAACCAATTTTACCCCCCCCTCTGGCCTTAATGGTGCGCGTCACGCACGTGCGTCGTGCACACGCACGTGCGTCGTGCACACGCATGTTGTGCACTCGCATGTTGTGCATTTGTGCACTAGATGATGAACAAATCTATCTCACTCTAAAAACCATTCTCGTTCAATTTAGAGAGATGTTGACAAGTCTTTCATTAACTAAATTGCAGATCCAGCAGATCAGTGGCGGACCTTGTTGAACTGCGCGCAAAACATGAAGAAATAGCAGTTTGTCGCAACACGCGAGCAAGCACCCCGTCCATTAAGAGTTCAGTATGTAGACGAGAGTTAATAACAATAAGGCTAATATGCGGCTGCTGCGCGCCGTGTTAGACTTATTGTCCGCAGCTGCCGAAGAATCTAAAACTTGTACGACCTTCGCGTCGTCTTCAAGCGCGCTGGTGTAGTTGTGATTGGCGTAGTTATCTTGCGGGACGTCTGTCTTCGACGAGTGGTCCTCTTCCGGGTCCTCGATTGGCGGGTCCTGCCCTCCAGGGTCTGGCACACTGCTAGCACCGTTCTCTGAGATATCAGACGTGCCTATAAGGAGTAAGGGTTACTAAGATATCAGACGTGTCTATAAGGAGTAAGGGGTACTAAGATATCAGACGTGCCTATAAGGAGTAAGGGGTACTAAGATATCAGACGTGCCTATAAGGAGTAAGGGTTACTAAGATATCAGATGTGCCTGTAAGGAGTCGGAATGAAGAATGCGAGGAGGATGGGGAATGTGAGGAAATGAAAAATGCACGGTACTTAGTGCCTTAGTGATTTTTGTGAATGCTGAATATGGTAAAGTTAAATGGATTTGTGTGGGACATACTAACATACTATACATTATATTATATTATTTACGGAAATTAGTAATTTTATGGAGAAAATGGTAACTGAATTAGCTGATGAATTTGTGGTGAACAATATCCACGGAGCCAATCATAATGATGTCTTGAAACCACGTGCACGGTCGATGAATGAAAAGTGAATGAGAAGTGCTGTTAGCTTAATTACGACTTTTCGAATTAATGATTTGAGCCCGTGAATGTACTAAGATACTTTAAATTAAAATTCCATCATTTGCGTTCAATGGATAAACAGCTTACCAGAGCATCACTGTAGGTAAAACAATATAAATTTCCATAAAACATCAGGGTATTAAAATGTTTTATACTTTAAGCTAGTGACTACAACTAATAGTGACTACAACTAACTTTTTGAGAGAGAATTAACGACGTGCAACTCTATCTTCATGGAATGGTGTCTGCAGTTACCTCCCGCGGTGTTTGCAATCCTCTCCCCATCAGTGCCTTTTCTGGAGGCCGTCGCTGAAATTAACAGTTCGTCAATCATTGTTATTTGTTAGTTTATTGCGTTGTAAATATTGCATCTGAGATAACTACAAATTAACACTTTTTCTGTATTTTAATTTGCTGATCTATGAATGTAATATTAATCTTATCTGACACCATGAAAGATAACAATCATATTTTTGACATTGGTCCAAACAAAATATTGATCTTTTATTCTTTTAATCGTTTAACCAATGAATATAAATCCGTGAAATGAGTAAATAAATGTTTTGAGTGGTAATGAGGTACTCCTAGTCCACCACACGATTCATTTGTCTGCACTGCTCACGTTCCTCCTGAACATGAATGGTACAACGCCCACGTGGGTGGTAAATTGTGCACGTGGGTGGTTAATTGTGCACGTGGGTGGTAAATTGTGCACGTGGGTGGTAAATTGTGCACGTGGGTGGTACATGACTGTGAAACTGCACGGAACTGATAGTAACTCCAATTCATTGAACACTGATAAGCAGCAACATGTAAGACTTGCTAAAGATTACTCTGTCTCAGTAAGGCATGCAAGTGTTGCAAGTGCTGAGCTGCACAACACGTTATACAAGTTCCCAACTGGGAGTACACTAAATGTGCTATTGTTTTATTTTAACTTATTACATGATCTGAATATTGCGTGTAACACAAGTGTGCACAATTTCTCTGAGATCGTGTGAATAATTCTCATTGACTGGCATTTCAATCTAGACCGCGACAAATCATTTTATCATTAAAGTAAAATTATATGTTATAATTCATGTTGTATGTTATACATAATTATTTAAATTGCGTAATAAATTGTCATTTGTCAAATAACAGCCGTTATTAACATCACTCCATCCATCGTCATGAATAAAATATAATTACAGTGAGCATTCATCATTAGTAAGCATATAAAGTTATTATGCAAGGTCCGTAAGTTACTGTAAATCACATTTCCGATCATAGGCCAAAATATTAAAATATAGCAGTCTCATAATATGTAACCAGCATCACTATCTACCAGTAGTGTACACTAGGTAGGGGAGCCATTAGGACGGGAAATTGGGGTGAAGTTTCAATAACCGGGGTGGTGGTGTACAATAGAAGATACGGTGCAGTGCAGTGATTAGCCTGATTAGTGCGCGGGATCGTGCAGAACCAACAAATTGGGTACTTATCGGGGGTTATTGTTTATAACTAGGACAGAGAGCGGGGAGCAGTAAGAGCAGTTGTTTGAGAGGTTTATCATTTAATATGGATGTCGTAGAATTGGAGGATGCAAGACTCGCTCTGTCTTGGTTTGAGAATACCAGACCAGCAATTGCGAAGTCATTATTATAAGAGAGGTAGAACCTTGTCTATTTGGGTAAAACCAGGGTGATAAATCAGTATTCGGGTGATACTATGTAGTACTGCCACAGTTACAATCCCCTCTTACAAATCACCCTAAATTTGGACACTACCTACCCAACACCAGTAACTACATAATCAGGATACTGACACAGTGGGGCCACGTGCGTCACACTATATACCCCCTACATTTAGTGATAAAGTTTAACTAAATTAAGAAGTACACGGTGATAGTATAATTGAGGGGGAGACCTCCGAGTTAGGGGTCTGAGTTAGGGGTCTGAAGTTTGTTGTAAATATTGTGATCAGACCTTTAATTTGTAATCTAGTGCTGATTATATAGATTAATCTCCTCCAGGGCAGGGCCACCTTGCCCACTGGGCATTACGAGCATCTGGTTAAATTCCAGAGATGGCCAAGTGAGTACAGAGGATGAAACTGTTGTACATAGTTGAGTGTGCAGACAACTAGGTCACCAGGTTAAGGTTTTTCTACCCATGCTCTGGTAAATCTGTTCCTGCCTTAATTAAATTACAGAATGCTGTACTTAGCGACGGCATAACTGCATTTAGCATCTAAATTCGTATTAACTTTTCCCCCATATACCAGATTTAGTTAAAGTTAAGAGTTAACGTTTCGCAGTGTCACAACCTGGAAGGTCCATCTCACAGTTAATACTGTCTCGCAACTTTTTGCAAGATTGGAACGCCAATACAAGCGATCTGGTATGATGGTAAAATCGAACAAAAGCCGGTTGAGATCATTATGAAGGTCATGTTGCAAAGTGCAGTTGTGCAAGAATGTTGGAGATATTTGCGAGCTTTTCAGGGAGGCGTGTCGTTGACGACAGAATATCTTTAGTTTTAATATTTAAATATTATATAATTAGAGTCAGAATAACTTTAATACAATGTAATATAATGTAATATAATGTAGCCAGAGTCAGAATAACATGAATCCAATATAATTATTAGGGTTGTAATAAGTTTAATATAATTAAATAGTATAATATAATATGGATGAGGCTAGCTTTGATTAATTAACCCACTACATGCACAGAATAACAGAGTTATCGTACATGATGTGTACTACAAGTACAACATTATGATACACTTTCAATCTGTATGTTATAAGCTATGCTGAGATAAACTAGTTGCAAACGTGGTGTTTATCAGTCCCCAAGTTAAACTAGTTGCAAACTTGGTGTTTATCAGTCCCCAAGATAAACTAGTTGCAAACTTGGTGTTTATCAGTCCCCAAGACGAAATAAATCCATAATATTCTGTGATGAATTGGGCGGTGCCCTCCTACAGTGTGGTATTTAAACTTGGAGCACACACAATTTAAACCTTTATAGCTTTATCATTACACAAGGTGGCAGTAAATATGAAGCTCCACAAAATTTCAGAGAGAGAACCACGCTTAGTTTTAAACCCCGTTTATGTAGATATTACTATTAGTTATTAGTAATCGTGTAACACTGTCCTGGTAGTAGGTAGGTGTGATGGGAACTGTCTCAGATTCATAACCACCAACAATTTATACAAGTTCAGAGCGAGTAGTGCTCAGTTAGGTAATTAGTAATTAGTAATTAGTAATCAGTAATCAGTTAAGTAGCGTGGTAAAGCGGGTAGAACTCAGCGTATGTAGTCAGTATAATAACATTCTGAGTCGTTCTAATAGTTGATAAAATCAATCTACATAATACTCACACCGCTTATCTGGCATTACTTTCTACGTAATATAAATATCTATTTTTGTAAAACCTTTAGAACATGTTTTCAGACGTCATGTTTTAAAATATGTTTTCAAGATGCTCAGTGTAGACAAGGCGTTATCTACAATGGTACGCAGTTATCAGTATTTGTGTAATATTCTGCGTAAAATATGCTGATATATAATCGATTTGAGACAGTTATTTGTGATTTAGTTCTGTTACCGAACTGTAAGAACTCATCTAGCCAGCATGATAACATGTATAATTTACAATCTTCTGTGCCTGTTTAGTGTTTACTGTTCAGCACAGATCACCGCTTATCTGACATCACTTTCAAATGTAAATCTATTTTGGTAAAACCTGTAAAACAAGTTTTCAGATTGCTGACTCTTCACTCTACATGGCTAAATTTAACTGCTGTCAATGTTATAATGCACATAAAATGCACATAATCTAGTGGTGGTATTTAATTGAAGGATCACTTTATTATCGAATAATAATAATTATGATCTCACCCTAAAGAGTGATCTCATGATACTCTCACGCTAATAATTGAAGGGTTCTGACCTAAACAGCTGACGTGAGCACAATACGCTGATTACACTGCCTAAATAATATTACAGATACTAAATACCCAGATCATACTAGTAATGTTCCCTTAAATACCCACAATATGATTCATAAGTTCCCTTATCTGGAGGAGGATTACTACCTGTACACAGAGTTGGGTACATTCTAGAATCAAGGTAGATTACCAAATGTTGAGGGGTCTGCTGATTATTGAAATACTGAACCAGCAGCGCAGGGGTCGGATAAAATGTCGCATTATTGACATAACGTCACAATATGTGACTATAATTAGGTATGCTCATATTTGCATAATCAGGTATGTTTATATTATAATGGTCGTATGATTGTCGGACCGTCATGATTATTAGAGAATGATGAGATGCCGGGTATATAGAAACTTAAAGGTTTAAAGTTTAAGTTTAAAGTTTTTCAGATGAATGTTAAAAGTTTTCAGGTTCCATTACAATAAAGAGTAGATTCTCATTATTGTAATGGAACAGCAGGGAATTTTGCGATAAAGGAAACAGCGGATAACATCATAACATATCAGACATAATCATATCAGACATAATTATATCAGACATAACACCATAACATCAGACGAACTGAATTCCGAGAATTCCCAGCAAGTTGTATAGAATTTAATAGCCGTACAATTAATATTCCGGGAAACGACCAATATGTTTTTGTATAGAGTCAGAGTTCTGAGTTCAAAGTTACACACTGAACGAAGTTTAAACTTGCCTGATCTCTTAATTTCTGTAAAAGTTACAGGCTTCACGTGTGTACTCACTAGTACATTAGTATGTTATATATTATCATGTGTATCAGTATGTTATTATTAGACGACTGAACTTAAACTAAGTTTAGTACTAACTACCTGTAGTGGTGTTCACATTGACACTTGTGTTACAATGTCCAGGTTTAAAACTCAGCTATATTAATATATCAAGCTGTATATGTGCTCATGTTAATTCCACTAATTTAAAGTCCAGGAAGTATCTGAAAAACTTGATACTATGGAGTAGTAAGCAAACGTCAATTTGATGATTTTACTCGTTGATGTAGTGAAAACATACGATATTTGCAAAACCCCCTAAAAGTTTCAACGTCCATTATAGAACTTAAGAATAAAGCTGTTCTAACCCCGAAAAGTTTACAAGATCTAGATAATACGCCCATAGTCCTGAGCTTGGGCTGTAATTCACCGTTACACGCTACTATCCAATACTCTCACACACACACCCCACCAATTAAAACGCACCATTTCACCCAGGTGACCAATTAAAACGCACCACCTCACCCACATGTACAACACGTGACTTGTTTTGCCCACGTGACTTGTTTTGCCCACGTGACTTGTTTT